TCATGACAATACTAACACCAAACCCGGTTGAAACTCACGTCTCTGCTCGATCATGAACTGCCTGAAGAGGCCGTAGCGCCGCGGCGCCGCCAGGTCGCCCTGCATCTCCCGGCAGCGTTCCCTCGCGTCGGACCAGTTGAGGCGCGTGTCCGTGTGCACGTGGAAGCAGCCGCCGCCGCCGCGCTTGTAGGGCCACACGCACAGCTCTGCAATGGTGAATATTTTCATGGATTACTATGCTTTTAAACTTTTTACTCATTTCTAGTCAGTCCTTGATGATTTTGTTTATGTTAAGACTACATTTAAGGGAGAGAATTTTCTTTTTAGGATACATTTTGAGTGATATTTATTGTCCACATAAAGAACTCTTTAATTGCATGCACCTATACTTTCTTTCGGATCTATATATCCGATAGGTTTCGCTAATTTCTAAATCCCCATTGTCCGTATCATATTCGTTGTTGTATATGCATTTTACTTATAAATGTTATATTTTCCAACAGGTTTTGTACAATGCCAAATCATTGTTCATTCATTCATTCCTTGAGTGAGATTTATCATAAAGAGACATGAAGGGTTTATTTTTATCAGGTATGGTAGAGATACTGACATATCCTTCAATATGTGTGGTATTAAACTCGAAGTGCATAAGATAAAGTTTGCCAGGTAAACACTATGCATATATAAACCGCTGATGAATATATACACTTGGGCCAAAAAAAGGGTTAGTAGAAACCTTTATAATTTGGAAGTACTTACTAAATCTGAAACCATTACTGATATCTTACTATTCATGCTGACGCTGACGGTTCCGTTTCCGGTGATGACAGTTCTCTTGCTGTCCGTCATCTCCTCCTGAAGGTGCTGTAGGCTAGATTTGACGGCAACCACGTCCTTCTTCACTGTCGTCATGCCCTGCAGCATTTCCTCAGCCTCCCTCAGACGGCCTCCGTGCGCTGTGACGAGGCCGTCCACGCGCCGCACCGAGTCGTGGAGGCCGGCGAGGTCCTCCACCTTCTTCGTGATCTCCTGCAGGCTCTTCTTCTGCTCGCGCTGATCCTCGCGGAGGCTGGCCACGGAGACCTCCAGCTCTGCCGTGTCGCACTCGCACGCCGCGGGGACGGGCGTTGTCTCAGAGGCTTCCCCCCAAGCCTGGGGAGCTGCTTCGAGGTCCGTACCGTTCAGCTGCACCTTCTGCAACTCGTCCCTGATGGTGTCGACGGCGCTGGAGATGAACTGCATCTTGGACGTGAGTTGGTCGAGCGAGTGGCTCGTCGTCCCAATGCGGTCGTCGAGGTCCGTCAGGTTGGCAGGCGGCTCGGGCGGCGCGTCGTCAAGGTGGTTGGAGCCGAAGTACGCGTACACGTCCGCCTGGGCCTTGCGCTCTCGCACCGCCGACTCCACCTCTTCCACCGACCGCCTCAGGCTTCGCATTTCCGTGTGGAAGGAGGTGGTCTCGTCCTCAACCGCCTCGAGCCTCTCCGCGAGCGCCCTCAGCTGCTCCCCCTGGCTCAAGACGAGCAGCTTGAGGGTGGAGAATGTTTCGAGCACAATGCTCACTTTCTGGTCGGTGTTTTCCCGCAGGCGCGCGACGCTGCCCGCCATGCCCTCGAGGGCATCCTTGGTGCTCTCGCTCAGGTCCTCCAGCCGCTGAGTCATGGCTTCCGATGGGCTGCTCTGCCCCTTGTCCCTGTACAGGATGTCTCGAATATCCATCAGGAGGGAGGTCGTGAAGGTGTCGTCGTTCGTAATGAGCTTGTTCTGACGACCTAGATCATTTATCGTATCATTATCGGAATTATCGGGAATTCCATCGTCGTATTCGTCCTGATTTACATCTAGTTCGTTGAAGTAAGCGCTGAGGTCTTCGCCAGGCAGGTCCTCTTCCGTGGTGGTCTCAAAACCTGAATAATGATCGTCGGCTTCGGCTATAACGGAAGACCCGGCTTGCAGGATCACACTAACTGCTGCTAGAAGCATGAGAAACCGACGGGAAGCCATCCTTGCCCTTGCATGAACTCAGGAACCGACTTTTTCTCGAGTTACTATATAAAACGGCTCCGGTCGTAATGCTTCACAGTAACTCACAAACTATTGCACTCAATCCTTTCTATTATATGAAAAAGACTTACTATATCTCTTTAATATCTACATAACTATTTCTTCGAGCCTTCGTTTTCGTATCGTAACATGCCCATCACTTAATGTACGGGCAAATCATCAGCGTTCAGGACTGTGTGACCGCGGAAGCAGGAAAGAGCGAGGTGTTTTCGCCGGGGGAATATGTAGGACACTGCGGCGGCAGGTTAACCCAATGCCCGACTGCGGAGAAAAGGTGCCACGTCTCAATTATGGGGCTATTGTAAATCATCACATTGCACTATTTTCATTCCCATAAGTTATACAAACACAGATAAGCGTAACAATCTGGGAATGAAAGCTAAAAATGAGATAACCAGTACAATATAAAACTGATATTTATTTATAAACTATTCTGATT